GGGGATGCACGGTGGGTGCTAGCCGTCCCAAACAGGGCTGGCTCCCAGGGACGTGGGTCCCCAAGCTCTCAGGAAAGTCTGGCCCCTCTCCTGTACCGAACAGCAGAGCAAACAGAGCCAGAGCACAACCCAGATCTCACACCCCCTCCGCGGCACGAATTAATAAATTCAGAGTATATCATCCCCCCCCGGCCTGCAACTCCTCCGACCAGCAGCTTGCCAGGGCCCCGAGCCCAAAGGCCTCTGCTTGCAAACATGGAGCAACAGTAGTTTTCAAACAAACCCTCTGCAAACAAACATTTTACTTCTGCTCTGCCATTCAAGGAGCGAATATCCTGCCCGGACCCCACCCTTCTTGCTCAATGAATCAAGCCCTTAGTGCTCAGATACTTTTCTTTCAGGCCTTATCACAGATAAAATACAGCTCTTTTTGTGCTGGAGGCGTAGGACCAGCCAAATATTTACCAACTCTTTCAGAAGGCTGAAAATGTCACCCTTGCATTGCAATAAACTTCACAGCTAAGGCCCTGATAAATGGAGAGAAGGCCTCGCAGCTCTGCCCAGAACTAGGTTATTGTGAAGTAAACCTTGTCAACTCTGACTGCCGAAGAAAGCTTATTTGTACACCGGGAAAGATTAGCAAAAGAGGCACAAAGTTTAGAAGTGAAAATAAAACAAAGCCCCATTATTAGCAGATTGAGGGAGAGAGGGGGGTGGGAAAAAAAAGAAAAATATCACAGAGCCTGTGACCCAGAGATCGAAGGACGTTATGAAATAGAGATCAACAGCAAATCACCAGTTAAGAAAACTGCCAACAACTTGCAGCAAAAGCTCGAAACATCTTTAAAAAAAAAAAAAATCGTATTTACTGCGCTGGGTCTAGTATGTGCACTACGTTCTACTAAAAGAAGCAATTGTTTCTACATTGTCATTTGTCAAAGTCATCTAGGAGTCGAGGGAACCGTTGACTCGAGCCTGAATCTTAATCAAGCCAAAATGTTTAAATCGAACCGTTTAATGACACTGAAAAATGAACGTATGGAACTGCATGCTCTTTGGGGCCGGGAGCGCGCTTGGAAAGCGGTTTGCAGCGTGTGCACGGCTGCAGTCTAAACAGACACGGGAGTAATGAAGACAAATGGGGAAAAAAAGTGCATTTGAATATCAGCTCGTCTGTCACTTGAGTGCTCTTGGCTCTAAACAACTGCACCCACGTAAGCCAAACAGATGGATTGTGCTAAAAAATAATCCGTCCTTTCACCTTGAGGAGAGACACGGTAAAAAAAAGGGGGAAAAAAAAGTTTTCTAAAAGCGATTAAGGAATTGTGGAACCTCAAACGGACGCACTTAAAGGGACCCGGTTTTCAAAAGTGCCGAGCCCTTGCTTTAAAAATTGGGACTTGAAGTAGTCCGGAAGAAGCAAGCACCCAAAAGCACGAGTCATTTCTTTTAACACAATAAGACACTTAAAAGAAAGAAGGTAAACTAACTAAATAAATAAATACTGCCGGCAGACAATAGCTCAGGTATTGATAACCTGGCAAGTTCTGAAATGTTACAAATTTCACAATAAAGAAAATGTCCTGACGGAAGTACAAGGTCTGCTAGTCCCATGAAACGGAGCGCAGCGAAATAAAAATGAAGAAGCCCGATGCACAACTGCAGTTTTGAAAACAGAAAAAACAGGAGTGACTTCTAAAAACCTGTCTGAAGGTAGGACAGGATTCAGAAAGGAGTTATCCAGAACCCCCAAAAAGATGCTCAGCATTTCCCCCTCGTGAGCCGCACCGTAGCAGAAGTTTTTCCAAGTTGAATCCCCCCTGAATCAATGGAAAGCTGTGCAGAAAACCTGACGGGAGGGGATGGCCCCATATGCCCACTGCAATTTTTATTTTATTTTTTTTACAACATGGTTGAACTGCCATAGATCCCTCTCATTTCAGGGCAGTGGATTCGACTCAGATCACTGCCATTTCGTTACAAGTTAATTTAGTTTAAGCCTAATAATCCATAGGGAGGAGCAACACGTGGCCAGATACAGAATGTTCTTTAACTGCATCCAGTATCAAAAGGACAATGTTTGGCATTTTTGCGTTCACTCCTTATTTTCCACATACTTTAACGCGTCCGGCAGACAGAAAGTGGGTGGGGCAGGGGAAGCTTGCAAGAATTAAAAATATATATATATATATATATCTCTCTCTCCCTTGAAATTTGGTTTCCAGGAAAGTTCCCGACCAGCTCTTAGTGCTCGGTTTTATCCGACTCTCCCTTTAGCACTAGGGTTTTCATAAAGCATGGAGGCCTGGCTTCGGGGTATACCCAGCGGCCGTGACTTCTACACGTACATGCCCGCGCGCCCGCCCGGAGCGATTCTGGCGCGTGGAGAGAAACCTGCGTGGGGAGAGCCGGGCGCAGGCGTGGGGCCCGGGGCCGCGGCCTGTCCTTGCAAGCACCCGGGTGTTCCTGTGGCTGTCGCAAGCAGCTCCCAGGGAGCAGAGGGGAAGGGTCCAGTTTCCAACGGGCCCCCAGGGGCCTGCTGAGGGGCCGGTCCTCCCCCGGCCTATTTCACTATTAAACGAAGGGGGGGAGGGGAGAGGGAGTCCCGAGTCCCCGCGGGAAGCAGCCGACCTGCGGGGAGGAAGCGACGGTGAGGCGCCGCGTTCGGGGTCCGTTATGACGCAGCAGGTCCGTGACGTCAGGGCAGCGGGCCCCTCTGTGACGCCGTCCCGCGCCCACCTGCGAGCCCGCGCCGCCGCCGGTGCTGGGAGCCGAGAACTGGGACTTTGTAGGCCAGTTGAACGCACGAACCTCTCACCTCGCCCGCAAAGACCCAGCCCTCAGCTCGCATGGTGCGGCCGCCCGCGCCCGTCCCGCGCCCCGTCCCGCTCCGCTCCTACCTGCGGCGGGAGCGCCCGCGCCCCGGGGGGACG